CAACTATCAATCACCATCTCTTCAGCCTCAACAGAAATAGGGCCTGATGGATAATAGCAAGTCAAAAAAAGCCTTCTTATTATGATTTCGTGAGGTACACATGAAAACATATTAATGTTAGTCATAGCATTGAGAGATGTGATTGACACAACTGCTTATTCTGAGTGAATGGTTGTTTTAAGTGAAGTCAAGTATGCTATGATTGAATACAATGAGTTCAAAAAAGAAAAAAGTTTCCGGATGACCTAGTAGATTGTCAACGATAACTTTTCAAGAATGCTTGACTATGTTGTTATCTAACACGTATATGGAAGATGATAGCCGACGGTAGCGAGTCCATGCCGACAGACGGGGCAGGGCAGACGGTGCATGACACTTTCTGGCACATAGACTCATAAGGCTCATAGCCTGCCTACAGACTTAAAAACCGAGTAGGGAGTATATAATTCTTTTCGTACTAACTTGTTGTAAATGCAGCGTTATGTCGAAAGGCTCGGCCTTCGACATTGCACTGGCGTGGAATGATTTCAATGTACGTGCTTCGACAAAAGTGCACCTGAACTTGGATATTAAGCTGACAAAACATTTGCGTATATACAATCTCTTGACTCCGCTTGTTGAGAAGGCTGTATCTTTCCTAGCCAAAGTGGCAGTGCCAACAAAAGTAAGCTGTTTAGCAACTATTGATTCCGCGTCAGTTGCAACTCAAATTTTCAGGTGGAACAATTTATTCAAAAAGAGCTGAATCCTCGTCTGCAAAGAGTAAAACAACTTATAAAGTACAACGATTTCTTTAACATCACCGATTTTGATGATAAATGGGCAGTGCAACTGAATGTGCAGAAGGAGCACTTGCGTGTTATTTTGAAGCCAAAGAGGTAAGAGTATTCAAAATTATAATGACAACGTATATTATATGAACTGAAATGCTAAAACGTACAATGCCAGAATAATGGATAATGTAGTGCTTATCCAAAAGTGCAAAAATAACGGTTATACCAACTATCACCCATATTAATCGTCACACGTAGCGACACCTTGATTCCAGGCTTTTGCGTCTTTGGGCACATATTTGTCCCACTATGCTTAAAGTTTGCATACACTAGAGCATCGAGCATACCTTTAGCGACTCCATCGTAACGATCCTCATCGCTGCGTAT